AATAGACTTTTATTCCACACAAAAATATATGTATTTTGAAAATTCAAATTATAGTGAGTAAATGTAGTGTTGTATAAATGTACAATAAAGAAAATAAAAAAGTAGGTATATTAAAATTCATCCTCTGAATATTCTGATGAATTATCTTCGTCTCCTAGATTGATAACGATAGGTTCTACAGTAACGTCAATTAAATTATCGAGTTCCCACATTTTCTCCTCTTCTTTTTGTACATGATGTATACATCTTTGCCAGTTATCACGCGTTTAGCAGGTACGTAATCTGATAAGCTCGACATTTTACCCAAACAATATTATATCCACTGGCACAATAGTCACTAAACACAAGTCGAATTTTACTCTACTGCACTAGCACGTCTTCGTATATTCAGCTCTAAGACTGGATTGATCTGTCACAATACACTGGCTCCTGCCCTATGATGTATCCAGTAAAATATACTAATGTACACCCATTACCTGTTAGCATTAGTGTTACCCGATAATTAGCTGAAACGAAATATTACCACGCCCATGGCCGGTTCTTATCTCGGGGTTTTATTACTCTCATTCATTTCCAGACAGACTATAGCTTGGAGTTATTTTAAAAAAATAAAATGTGTTTTTGTCAGTACGCTATGTTTTTTATAAGGCCTTTCGGATGCATATTCACAGGAAACATTTCGCATAAAATGACGTTATCTCTTGTTTCAGATTGGTGTCATATTTCCAAAACACATATACTGTTCATTTTATCATTTTCTGTTTTATAAAATAGAATGGACGTACGAATATTTATCTCAACTAAAGCAGAAAAAGATGTCGGCCCGTGTCCATTTTGAAAAATAAAAGTTTGCTTTATCTCGCAAATCACGATAACCATGGAAATAAATTTATTTAAATTAAATTATCAGTTGATTCATTGTTTGTAAGATACTTATAGTAATATATTATTTTAATTTAGAAATATAAAAAAATAATTACAAATTATGTCCTATGACCGTTTTTAAATTGGTCCATACCATTTCCAAAAGAAATAATAGTTATTTTTAAACAGGACTAAAGAAATTATTCGGGTCCTCTGATGTGTCAAAGTTTACCGAATCTAGACGAGTATGCGTATACGAATAATGCATGTGTGAATCCGGAGTTTGGATTTATTTAGCGCCTCATTGCAGCAAATATACACAACGAACACAGAATTTGAATATGCACCTGCGTTTTTGTATCTTCACGCATAAGCGAGATATGTGAGACCCTCCCACAATGTGGACAGTCTGTATATGTTATTGTACGGTTATGATGTAACCTCAATATCATGAATATGATACATAATTTTGACCTCCAAAATATCTACCGTTAACTGATTGGTTATAATAACATTTATGACACGTGAAATATTCACTGATCATAATTTTATTTGATAGTTATAATCGATGTTTTAATTATGCATGCGCTTTGTTTCGTGTTTTGTCTATTTTTATCATCCTAATATTCAAAATAAGCAAGCGGTCTCTGTAGAGTTAACCTTTAAAAGAAATTCAGCTCCTCAGGAATTGTATCAGTTTCAAAAAAAAACTTATTTGATAATTATTGAAACTTATTACTCTTACATATGTAAAAACATATTAAAAAATAATAACACCGACTCAAGGTTCTATTTTGTTTGCATACAACAGTTAGCAATTTTTATTGTATTGAGAGAAATTGAAAGTTTAAACATTTAACATTTAATTTATGGCATAAGACAATCCTTTCCCATTAAAATCCGTTTTATTAGGGGTTTACGTCTTAGGTATAATAAATACGGTAAACATATTTTCTGGAAAAATTCGTTACGGATTATCCATGGATCCGTTTATCGAATCCAGGTAAAAGTTTCATACTGACTTGTCGATATTTTATTATATTTAGGTACTCACAATAATGTCGTAAGAAAAGTAAATATTTATATTAAGTAATGCTCGGCATATAGTATTAGAAATATTTTCAGCTCCAGCTAAAAATAAAATAGGATTTATAAAATAAAATACTCTATGGAAATTTGTCCAGACGTTTGAATGCTTTATTTTTTTAAGGGCACATTCCATGTTACTGAGTTATTCCATATTCTAGGTTTTTATATAGTTTATTAAAAAGATACGCTCGTGCAATTATAATTATTTTCCTAAATTCTTATAAAATAAGATTTATTTATATTTGTTTTAACTAAGGGCATTGTTAAAGAAAGAAACTGTAAACAGGTGATGTTCTCACAAGCTTTAAAATCTATTTTTTATTATTTTAATGAGACTTGTATCTTTTTTTGAGGGGGAAGGTATTTCACTGTTCTTCTAATTATCATATGAAAAATCGTATACTTAAGAAATTGACGTAGATCCACTACCACCACCTCTATTTGAATTCGCCTTCCCTCACAAAGTTTTTTTCTGTGTACGCCACTGACTACAGAAGCAAACCATTGTCCACTTAAACCTTAGGGTCGAATTGTAAACTATTGTTTAAATTAAATAATGAATTTTATTGCACATACATGAATCAAAATCAATTAATTTAAAAAAGATGCATAATTGAATATTATATTTTTCAAAATTTCCGCCAAATAAAAATGTTTTATAAACTTTCCGGCTTTACTGGCTAGAACTATTGATCGCACTTTATAAATGATATAGTTTTATAGATTAACTTTAATAGAAAAGGAATATAGGTATTGTTTTTTATAAACAATTCAGTTTTGTTTTTAAAGAAATGGATAGAATACGAATTGCAGCATGTGATGGAGATACTTACAATTAGCCATTTTTTTCATTATATTTATGTTACTTATAATACTAAAAAAAACTACAGGAACACAGTCAAATAAGATGGATACATATAAACAAGTTTGCATAGATATGATACAAGGTGAAACTGTTGTACGTAACTATACAGGGTGATTCAGAACTTATCCAAAAAAAGAAAATTTGGATGTACAGAAAAAATCAAAAAGGGCAGATCGAAAATAATTTAAAAATACACTTCTGCATGACACTGGAAACTGGTCCACTGTAAAACCTAACCTCCCACAAAGCGACCGACATGGCGGCAATGTGATAAAAACACAAAAACTTTGCAAGGAAAGAAATAAATATAATTTTATAGCACTTATTTTGTATCAGCAAATTCAACTGCATTTGCCGCTATTGTTATTATTAATTAATAAAATTAATTTGTGGTTTTTTATAATAAAATAATTTAATATACCTGATGTTACATCTATTCAAAATTTTATCCACCAACGTGTAAACACATTTGGGTCTGTCTCACTCAGTTTCTACGAACTAATACATTGTCTTGCTTCACCATAATACAAATGTTGTCTTATAAATTAAAACGATATCCATCAATTTCGAGTTGCTCTACACGCAAGCCATTTTTGACGCTAACTACTAAAAAACTTTTGTAAACACTATCGCAACGACGATTGTAAAATCGGATTTCAGTATTCGCAGTCGTTGAGGCCACGTGGCTCTCCACGCGTATTGCGAATGACGCTAGGGAAAAGTTTTATACGAAACTTGTCATTTTAACGGCCCCTGTATAATCGGAGAGATTGCCCACATGTTCTGAAACACCCTGTATAATTGTCAACCGTTATTGGAGTCACTGAGATCTTTTCACTAACAACCTCAGAATTTCAACGTCATTTTTAGTATTTTGAAAATTTGATCTGTGCACTTGATTTCTAATTATATGTCAAAGACGGAAAAGGGCCATTTGGGAGTTTAAGAGAATTTTTTGAGTCTAAAATAAGGTTAAATAAATAGAAAATAGGTAACTCTAAAGTCTAAACCATTAGTTTGACGAAAAGAAACAGTAAATTTTTTTATTATAAATCTAATTTTAAATAGCTCAAAATCATAACTTGATTTTTTAGAAGCAATTCAAAATTTCTGCGTCAATGTTTTTTTTTTGGAATTTTTGTGATGACACATTTAAAATAAATATGGATAAAATGATGACATTAAAAAAACCAGTAACTGGAGAACTAATCGCTTTTAGTCATTCATTATTTTCATTGAATTGGTGTTTTATTAATCTTACCATATTTATATCTCCATCAAAAAACAATATTTGAATGTTTATTTTTAATTTCTAAACAGATTCTCTTATTGGTCATTTAAGAAATGCAATTGTTGACTTTGTCTATTAAAAAAATATTAACAAACTACAAATATTGATTTAAAAAGAATTGTTGAAATAACGGAGAAAATTGGTCATTTTAATTTTTTATGGTAACTTAGAATTTATCATTTTTGTGACATTTTTATAACAAAAAAATTATTGTTGTCGATTCAATTTCCACAGTGCAGTCAGCAGATTTGTATGAACTAGTTGCAATTCATAAACAAAACTTGTATAAAATGTAATTTAAAATTAAATATCACTGACAAAAATACTATTACTTACTATTTTCTTAACATAAAAATTCATAGAAAATCAGTCACCTAGGTTAAAATCGGGATAGAGTCGGTATTCTTCATATTTACCAAAGATAGTATTGAAATAATTGCATATTCAATATAGAACCAAAAAAAAAAATATTTTTTTTGTTGGCCTGTGTTATTCAACTCAATTTTTTACTGTAGAAACTGCAGTTTTCCAAAAGAATTTTAGTTATTATGGGTTAACAAGTAAAAACTAAATCTGAACGAGGTTGATATACAAAATTTATAACAAATAAACATAAAAAATATATAAACATGGTTTAACAATGTTACATCAAGAATAAATAAAATAATAATAATAATAAACCTTATAAAATTATGTTTAACAAAGATACAAATGAAATTAGAAATAATAATTTTTAAATAAGAGTATAATTTCTTCAAGAAAAATAGTTTGATTATGTTTACAATCTGTTGCAAGACGCCTTCAAAAACAAGTGTTACTCAAAGATTTCAGTTCAAACACTTCAAATATAGACATAGCCCTTACGTAACTGATTATCCTGTGTATTATTAGGTGCCTTAGACGAATCCAATGGAAGTCCAATACCTGAAACGGGGAGCAGAGCGGATCAGTTAAGTCCCAAGCAAAGACATCAGATGAGACACCGCGAGCTATTTCTCTCTCGGCAAGTGGAAACGTTGCCAGCGACACACATTCGAGGGAAATGTTCGGTAACCCTATTCAATGAAACAGAAGCACTTACCTCCTACCTAAATAAAGACGATATGTTTTTTTACTGCCTAGTTTTCGATCCAACGCAAAAGACTCTCTTAGCGGACAAAGGTGAGATTCGCGTGGGTAGCCGATACCAGTGCGACGTTCCACCTATGCTTAGAGAAGGTGATAGTGATGAACGGGAGTTGACGGAACTGGAGACTCTGGTCTGGACTCCCGAGCATAACCTAAGTGACAGACAAATCGATCAATTCCTAGTTGTGTCGAGATCTGTGGGTACCTTCGCCAGGGCTCTGGACTGTAGTTCGAGCGTGAAACAACCATCGCTGCACATGTCGGCAGCGGCAGCGAGTCGTGATATAACCCTTTTTCATGCCATGGACACCCTCCACCGCCACGGTTATAACTTGTCTAGTGCGTTGTGTTCTTTAGTACCTTCTAGTGGCCCTGTTCTGTGTCGGGACGAAATGGAAGAGTGGAGCGCGAGCGAAGCAAATCTATTCGAGGAGGCATTGGACAAGTACGGCAAAGACTTCAATGATATCCGTCAAGATTTCCTCCCTTGGAAGACCCTGAAGAACATAATCGAGTACTATTACATGTGGAAGACCACGGACAGATACGTACAGCAGAAGCGCGTGAAAGCCGTGGAAGCGGAGTCTAAACTGAAACAAGTCTACATTCCTAACTAGTGAGTTCGTATTAATGTTTGTATAATGTATTCGGTGAATTAATCGAATTATTTTCAGTAATAAACCAAATCCTGCCGCGCTCAATAACAATAAAGGTGTGGTAAATGGAAGTAGCAATGGCAGCTCGGATCCGGCAGTCTCATTGGGGGGAAAAGCTTGTGAATCGTGTAACGGTGAGTATACTCTTAAATTGATAATCTCATAATATGTTGAGAGGAAAAGTTTTAGACCATTTGTTACTATCTTAATAGTGATCATATACTTCGTATGGGTTTTTGAGATATTTTGAAAAAAGCAAAATGTTCAGTTTGCGAAACTCTATGGCCACTTTTTTTATTATAAAAATTTTTTTGAATCAGTAAAAACATTTTATGCCAGCTTTTTGTAAAAATTTTGACTGTGATCTCCAATGTTCCCTCAAAGCTGTGCGGGAGCGCGACCGCGCACAAATTTATTTGAAAGTTGTGCAGCTGTTTTTCTATTTTGTGCACAATGGGCTTGTTCATTTTTTAAATTTCATTTTATAAAAGAATTGCATCTAAAAACAGCAAAAATCCAAATTTCACTAAAAAAAAAGTAAAATTTAGAGGGTCAAAAAATTTTTTGAACATTTTTGCTCCCATATACTTTTGTACTGCGCAGTCAGTGAAAAAATTAGAGGGAACATTGGTGATTTCACATTTTTATTCCAACATTTCGACTCTGTCTGGATGCAATATTAAATAGGTGGATTCATGCTGCATAAAAAGGGCGCTTTTTAGTTTTCCATTAATGTATCGAACGTGGAAAAGATTTCTATAACAATCCGAAAAAACAATATTATTTTTATTATTATTATTATTATTATTATATTCTGATAACTGGCAATACTGATTAATATTTTTCATAAAAATATATAATATTTAATGAAATAATTTTTACCAAATTCGCCTTAACCAATGAACTATTTAATTCCAGAATGCCAATGTAATTGTTATACTTTTTTTGTTCAATTAGCACCCATAAAAAAATGATTATTTTTCGGAGCGGCAACATTGAAAGAAAATCCACATTGTACTTCCCTGCAAATAATATATAATATATAATAATATTTTTACACATCTTAAAAATTTGTAAATATAAAGCTTCTCTCAAGAATACTATCTACAACGTGTACTGCAAGATTGTACACTTTGTCCATTTTTATACAATATTTACTGTTACTACACTATGTTGATACTGCTTTGATAAGCCGCAATTTCAGACATAATTTAACTATACAAAACCTTCTGCAGCTAGTCAATTCGGTACAAAAATGATGCAATAAATGGCAAATTAAGGGAGGAAATCACATTAGGAGGTTCAAAAAATCGGATTTTTTTTTATTGCATAAATTGTTAGTATAACTATTCAAGAATACACACTGCCAAAATTTCAAAACGAAATTTCTATTCTCTCGGGCGCATAATAGATAGAGCAGAGCATTTGTTCAGGTAGTCTAGTCACTTATTTAAGTAAGAAAAGAACAGATGCAAGCTCAGAATGATACCTAAGAGGAAGAAGAAGAACTGTTATATGGCGCTTTAGTCGCTGATTGATCGGAAAGCACTCTACATTATTGATACAAGTTGCTAGTTTGCAGAAATTTTCGAACACGTTTTTCTTGAAATGACATTTTTTTTTATTCATAGGAATTCTAGCTCAAAAAGTTATAAACCGATCATTCATAAAAATTCATAAAATTGAAAGTCTTTATGAAATTACAAAGAACATGAACCAACAATTGGGTTAATATAATTTTAAGGGTGTTTTTTTATTCAAATTAAGTGAAAATCGATTCATTTTTTTCAAACATGTCAAAACTTTAATTTTCACAATTTTTAACCGTAATTTGTAAATGTAGTTCAAAATATTGATCAAATAATGTCAAAGTTTGAAATTCTAATAAATTTGTCCCACTCAAAAAAATTTGTGATGATTGTCTGAAAATCAGCCTTATGTGGTTTCCCTCTTTAAAGTCAATTTAGCTAAATAAGTCAATTTAGCTAAATCTTGATAATTTTTATTCACAAGAGCAATCCGAACTCAATAATCGTACGCTGAAAAGCAAGACTTCAATCAAATATTTCAGAGTTACATTGGACCAAAAACTCAACTGTAAGGAAAACACAAATTGATTAAAAAGAAATGCAATTACACATTGAAACATTTTTTTTATTATAACATTAAAAAAAAAGGAATTTCCAATGAAACGGCTATACTTATTTTCTACATCTACATTTTGCAAACCAATCCTAGTATACACCCATTGTCTTTATCTAAATGCAAAAAAGATGATTCAAAATCTAAGAATAGCAAAAACTTCCACAGTATGTGTCATGAAAATAAACTCACTACAGAAATCTTCCCAATGAGCTGCTATATTTCTAAGATTACAAAAATTATCGCTACATTTCCGTTGTACCAACATGGAAATTCTACATCTCTTTACGAAAACTAGAAATTCAATTGAAAGACCTTACAAAAAATCATCTCATATCCATCAATTAGGAAATCATGAAAGACTAAATGTCCAACAATTGATAAGAAAATTGATTTTTATAGGCGGTTTTTCTATATGTTACGGGCTTTTTTCATGAATTGGTGAATATGCCAAATTCGGCGTTACTATTTGTCATACAAAAAATCACAAAATACACCCAACAATATACAGGGTGTCGCACTTAAATGTGATACAAGCCTGTAGCTTCTTTGTTTTTTGACTGATTTCAAAATTTTTTTTTTTGAATGTAGGATAAAAGAAACTCTTATCTAACTGTAATGCTGCTGTTTTTATTAATGCAATTCACGGCTAGCTAGGACGCGTTTTTTTGATGTCAAAACAGCTAATTAGTATTAGCGATTTTTTTTTTACAAAAAACAGATTACGTATTCTCATTCAGCATCCCTTAAAATGTCTTATCACCAAGTTTCATCAAATATGATACATCTTTAGACGAGCACTAGTTGGTCATGTATTGCATTAATAAAAAACAGCAGTATCACAGTCAGATAGTTTTTTTCCCTATATTTCATTAAAAAAGATTTTTAAATCGACCAAAAAAATAAAGAAGACATATTACATTTCGTGACATCATGGAGTGCTCGCCTGAAGTATCGATTTTGATGAATCTTGTTTTAAGGGATTCTGAATGAGAATATATAATGTTTTTTTGGAAAAAAAAATCCCTAATCCCAATCAGCTGCAAAATTTTTGAAATCGGCCAAAAAATAAAGATGGTACAGGCTTGTATCATATTTAAGCGCGACACCCTGTACATCAATCACGAAACAAAGCCTTATGTTTTGTCTGAAAATCATTTTTTTTTATTTTTTTTTAAATACTCATACAATTTTAATTATACAATTTTACAAATACAATTTTTATATTATAATATTGGCTGAAGGACTTTGGTCAATGAGCCTTTGCTTTATCCAATAAAACATGTTTATTATTATTTATTATTAAAGTTACGGTACATTTTTTTATTTCAAAAATTCAAACAAGTGCCATTAAATTAGTAACAAAAATGGTCTAAAACTTCCTTAAATTAACTATTTTTCTAACTTATAATTTCCAAGATCTCAATACATACAAACATTATCAATTTGGAAAGCTTTGTATAGATATAAAAATTATAGACATTTTGTCGTAAATCTGTTAACTATTTTATATCAAGTATTTATATCCGTTTATAACCCCGCAGTAACTGTTTCAAATCAATGGTACGCATGGGGCCCGTCCCACATGCAGTGCCGACTGTGCCAGTCGTGCTGGCAGTACTGGAAAAAATACGGCGGGTTAAAAGTAGCCACACGCTTTGGAGATGGAGACTTTGAAAACGGCGGCAAAAAAAAGTCTGGTAGCGATATTGATGAGGAACGTCTACCAGGAATGTCCCATCGACCTCATCGCTGCAACATCGGAGGCTGTGGAAAAGAGTTCAAATTGAAGGCCCACTTGGGCCGTCACTACGCCACGGCACACGGAATCGTCGTCAGATCAGGATCTCCCAGACCAATTATGAAAACCAGAACCGCTTTCTATCTGTTTACTACGCCGATAACTCGGATCTCGAGGAGGTTGTGCAGGCACATAATGAGACCCCGACACGCGGCTAGGGCACCTTTTTTCGCCATCAACATACAGGCCGTGAAACAGGAGTGTAGTATACAGATGGTATGTATTAATACATGAGTTATATTTTTGCATCTATACCTTTTTTTTATACGTTTTCCACATATTTTGGGATTTTGAAAGCATTAATTTTTTGTAGCAAGTAAAAAGTTCAATTTTTGACAAAGAAATAATGTTAAAATCATCTTATCGAAAATCCTCTGGGAACTTAAAAACGTCTGTTTTCAGGCTGGAAAAACGTTGGCGGAATTAAAACAGTTGCGCACCTACAGGAAAAGGAACAGAGGAAGCGTCACTGCCATAGCCACTAGGCTCGGACGACCATGTGCCGTCACGCCTCAGTGGTTAATTTTAACAGACAAGGAACTTCTGCCGCAACCTGATAAAGTGGCTTTTCCTAAACCACCAAAAGCTCCGGACGGTAGTCTGCTCTACGAAAGGGTTCCCAATAAACCCGAAGCCGAGAAAATTCCTCTGAACAGTATGTCACCATCCTTGAAGAGACGAGCTTACGATGAAATGAACGGCATGGATAGTAAGTTAGCTTTGTCGTATATAAAAATTTTAGATCGTAATTTTTATGGAACTGAAAAAATAATGTATTTTTTTCTTTATTGGCTTCTATTCTGATTTGGATTGGGACGATGGTGAGTTTTATGTTCTCAACTGAAAGATAACATTTGTATAAAAAGACTTCTGTTAATTGCATAATCAAATTTACCATCTTAATCTCTTATACGTAATTTGAATTATTATTTATCACAAGAAATTGTGATAAGAATGGTATTTGTAAAACGTCTGTGCAAAAAAGTGGGAAAGTTTGTATTGTAAAATTTTAATAAGTTTTTGTTTATTCAATTACTTCACTTTGCTTTTGTAACGTATTTTGCTAGGATTCGGTGACCTGTTTAGTTACAATATCAATTACAAGTACTATATGAGTATCACTTCTTCAGAAATCAAATAGAAGCTATTTATTTTCAAATTTTTAAAATATAACTATAATTATTATTAGCCCGGAAAATGAAAATATGTGCTTGAACTAGTCAAAATAGAGTAATTTATCATTTATTTTAAATAACTTCAAAAGATTTATGTTAAATATTAGTACAAAGGGGTGCAATATATGGCAAATGGTAACTATTTTTCTAGCAACTGTAAAGACAAATGGACAGTCAGTCCTATGATTCCAATATAACCATTTCAGCTTCTTAGTCCAATCGATCTGTTACAGCCTAATGTTAAATTTACAAAAAATACCACCTGGAAACAAAAAATATGGTGATATAGGAAAAAAGATTCTAAGAAAGATAATGTATTTTTCCTGTGGCGCATAAACGGTGAAGTTATCCTAAAAAATTCATAAAAGTAAAAAAACGGTTTTTTGCTATAAAAAAAAAAACTTGAACTCCAATTGAAAAAAAGTTAAGTGAGAAAGTTGTAGCTATTAAAAAAACCTATCGATTCGATTTATAAATATATCGATTGCTATATTACCTTCCGGGATATATCGAAAAAAAACGTCAAAAATCAACTTTTTTGTTTTTGCTGTATCTCTTGCAAATTAAGTTTTTGAAACTTGATACTTGCTATAAATGTAGCCCTCGACATGCAAAAAAGTACATTTTTTTTAAATGAAAAAATATTGAAAAATTTTCAAGTTACATCGATTCTTTGAAAAAAAGGTCATCTCGAGAATCGGCTCTTCTTGCTCGACGAATAGTCGTAGAGAAACGAAGGGCTCATTTTTTACCTTAAGAGTTGTACATTCATGGTAATAAAGAGTGATAACGATTTTATTCCTTTATCCCGCGGCCGGTAGACCGTAGATTAATTATGCTTGAATGGAGGATTGGCACCCTCTGTGCAGGTATGGTAGGGTGGAAGAATGTTGGCTTGGGTCAATGTGAGAGATTGACACTGGTTGGCATTTGACCACCCCCCTAATTAATGAGGTTTCCCTCATTCTTGCAGTGAATGGTGGTTAGGGCCTACCAACATAAGTCGTTCCTGGGCGCAAATGCGGCCTGCGTAATAATAATATGCCGCCTCCTCTCCCGCACAAGTCTTCGACTTCTGGACTAATTCTCGTAGTTAGAATGAGGAGTAGAGATATTATTATTATTATTAAGTGCCAAAAGATGACTGAAAAAATAAAAATTTTTTGCTTGCGTTTTTCTTTAATATCTTTTTCGATTTTCATTTCTCGATGATAATGTCTATTACAGGAATCGATTGCTAGCATTTTTACACGAATTTAAAAAAAAAACGCTCTATGACCTGGAGCCAAAATAATTTTTTTTTCAATATGTCATCTAGTAGGTGTCCTATATGTGTCCTGTTATACAGGGTGATTCAGTAATAATGTTATTAATTTTAATCACGTATTCGGAAGACCAAATAAAGACAGAAATTTGGAAAAAAAAATTTTACTCTACTCTTTTAAAAAATTACCCTTTAATTCCCGTTAACTCGGCGCTCTACTTTGCGTCACATTTGCTGTCTAGGAACACGTCGGCACAGCACAGGAAACAGCTGATTTCCCAGTTGTCTCACAGTTGATTTCAAAATCAAAGTGTAGTGGTTCCCAACGTAACAGTGTTATGGACGGATGAGTGAATGTTTTTTTTTAGCCATCACGCAATAAGGTATACGCACTGCAAACCGAATAATTAGTTGAACATAATACTAAACACTCGTACTCAATTATTGTGATTGATAATTTCAAAATAATTTTTTTTTCAGAGTAAATATGCATTTTAAAATTTTTTTAATCACATATTTGTATTCTACTCATTTTTCCCTACCTTCCCTTAACATTAATGAGATTATGACTGAATCACCCTGAAGCCATCTGAAGGATATTTGTTACGGTCATCGAAATTTAAAATTTTGATGGTTACAGTTTACACTAAGAAAGTTGTCCCTGATGTCAAATATTGGCTTGACAGACAGTTTATCTCTGTTCCGTTCAGAATTAGATTTACTTTCAAATTTAAAAGTTTACGATAGTATTTGATTTGCTGAAATTAAAATATCTATCGCTTAGGATTGCCTTTATTAAGTTAAAATAGAGGTTATGAAAAATTATTATAAAAATGACCCTTCTGGACATTTACATTGCAAATTATACCCTCAGTTAAAAATGTACGCATTGTAGGTTCACCCTGTATAAACTGATTTCACCGTGCATTTAGTTACACACTATAAATAACAAATAGTGAAGATCCCGTAAAAAGTTATATTATACAAAATTACCTAAATGTCGTGTCTAAAGTATTTCCTGGATTTATCAATAGGTGTGGCCCTCAACGCGCCGCCTCCGAAAAGTATGAAAAAGGAGCCCGCACATGTGACAAGGCCCGAACAGTTCCAAGCGTTGATGGCTGCACAAATGATGCCCGGTCAACCCCTTCCACGACACATTGCACAAATTAATGGAAAACCAAAAATTGCTCACATGACCCGAACGGGTTCAGGTCGTAAACAAGTTATAAGTTGGATGGATGCACCGGATGACGTTTACTTTAGGGCAACAGAAGGAAGCAAGTAAGTGTAGAAAAAATCAAAATAAGGTGTGACTCCCAAAATATAATATTAATTTTTAATTGTGGATTTCTCAAATTAAGTTGCGGTTGATATGGTAAAAAATTAAGGGGACTGACTTCATATACAGAGCAAGTCAAATTCTATAGGATTTCAGGGGACTAGAAATAGAAAAAGTTTGATAAAAGTTATCTATCTCCTGAACTATTAAGTCTAGTATTTAATAGCTTTGTTTTTTATAGTGTTGGAATAGCGAGAACGTACTCGATGTGCACTTGAGAGTATTTGTGAATTTTTGTACATGAATGTTCTCTTGAGATACAGAAAAGAAAAACTTTCTTAATTTTCTAAAATTTCACACTATCCGATCAACTTGTCTTATTTTAATAACTATTTTAAATATTGCTTATGCGAATATTGGAAAATATGGAGCACTTAAGAGCATTTTTGAAGAAATTGGAGAATTTGAACGGAGAATCTTCAAAATTCATAAAATTTTCATGTAGAAAAATATAAACAATACATCACGTTTCTCAATTTTATAACAATTATATTAATAGAACATAAATTCCTAGGTTCGTCCCGTTTAATGTTTATCTATTCTCATTTGTGCTTGATGAAAATTCTTCAAAAATTCTCGAGTATGTTATAGTCTTTCCGAAGTCAGTTGAACAAGCAAAAGAACGCCTGGCGATAAAATTTAATGAGTTTCATAGGCGTCCCTAAAAAAGTTTTCTACTAAAGGTAAAAAATTATAATAATAATTTGTATATAATGTGTAGAAAACAACACATTTTAATTATTTATGTCCTCAAATAATTTTATTATATTGATGGTAAATTTCGTCTTGTTCCGTTTCCAAAGGTTTCCAAAATGTCATGTTGTGATAATAGTAAAAAAAATATCCCTATTATTTCTCCCTTTCGCAATTGTAATATGAATGATTAATAGAAGGTGCCTATAATGCCTATATTAAATTAAAATTACCTGAATCACACCAAATTCCGCATTGCTGCACTGCACTGCTGGGCAATTTATCAACCACTTGTCAACTGCTGAGATTTATTGCCCAGTAGCCCAATCCAACTGTGTTTGTTTTCCTTTGCCCGCACTCGCATTCTTCAACTGGGCGTATACATTTCTACAACCTCCACGTTTAGTTCCACCATATGGGTATGACTAAATAAATATGGGAACAAGTTCAAATATTTCAATGCCGAGTTGCTGCGTCAGCGACCGAACCTGGTACATACTGTCAATCTGTTGGTTCTTCAATTGATATCGGAAAGACTATCAACACTAGTTCTGAAGTTACAGGATATATTCAATTTTATAACATTATCGACCACCTCTGTCTCTGCTGCTAAATAAGTTAGAATTAAAGTAAAAATTGCTCCATATGAACGTTTTAGCATAAAGTTTATTGATTTTAATGAGTCGACTGCTGTTAATTTGTAATTCTATAAGGTACGATTAACGTATGATATACTTCATTGTCAAAATTATAGACTCAGACATAATATAAAAAGTACCATTACCGTAAAGCATATAAAATATAAAATGATTTTTATAACGGTTCAATATTATTTGTCTTGTATTAAAAGATGTGCCGCTCTCTATGCACATCGATAGAATCTATAATCGTCTATAGACTGAGATACACTGAACGTTGATCTATCTTCTATCTCTGTCTATTGCACTTATAGGGAAATGCTTTTTTAGTGGGTGTAAACGGACGTACGTAATACTCGATTTAGCCATCGTTAGAAATGAATATCATTTTATTATATTTTTTCCATATTTTTTATATCTTGTTGCCTTCTAAACTGGATTTTCGATCCTATAATTTCAACTGCGAAGAATAGAATAGTAAATTATGCAATTCTGGAACCATCCCTGTAACGATCCAAGTTACAGAGATGCAAATAAACTACTACTATTTCAGTGAATTTACGGTTGCCTTAACCTTAAAAATTACTCGCCTACAAACATTTTTTTTATATTAAAAAATGAGATGAGACACATCAGCTAAAGATAGAGTATAGTTTCTTTATATATCTATAAATCATGAAAATATAAACATTGGCAAGTGTTCCGCCCATATATTTTTGTAGTAGTGGTAAGTGAGCAGTTTAAAGGAGACTGATGATATTAAAAATTTTCTTTCTCAGCACAATCAAAAATTAATTTTCACTAGGATTGAACAAGTGTTTATATTAAAATCTCTTCAGATCACGAAATAGTCTTCAGCACATAAATTCACTTGGAAATTAATAAATTTGTCGAAACTATTTTATATTTTCTCCTCATGAAAAGATCCTATAAGTTGTTCCGATGACATTCGGTTCAGTTATAAGGGTTTACGATTTCATACGAGTTTCTGTAAGCTATGTGTAACAAATATTTCCGGAAGTTTATAGAGCGTCTTTGACAAGTTGCCTCGGTTATTTAGATCATAATATTGATATTTTTAAAAATTATGACATTTGTCAGATATTTTGTTATCGATTTATATTACCTTCTTGCATTTCCAAAATATTTTTAATCAAAAATGCGTCTAAAAATGCTATCGAGGTTTGTTGGCCCGAAATCGAACCTAAGTTTCAATCCTAGGCTCGAATACGTGACATGTTGAAAGTCCAAGAGATCGGACATACACAAGCTGCCGCATAGTTGCATGACTGGGCTGGCTGCCTCAGATCAACTTTGTTGCCAATTGCCCGGTAGATTTACTGATTTATGCGATCTCAATTCTTCCTTATCTTTGCTGTATTTCTCGCGTAAAAAAATCTTAAAAAAAAGATTAGGAGAACTATGGAATTCTTTTAGTAATCAATTTGTTGGAGCCCTGCCCCAGCAACTGAAATAAAATAAAGTCAAACTCTTCCATTACGGTGAACGATGCTTCACTGTTGAAGGTTCAGATCGGACTCTTAAACAGCAATATCTAGGTACTTTTATAGTAAATTTTAACATGCGACCGTTGGGAGTTCTCTGTGGGCGTGATCTCGCAGATAGAAGTCAACGACTGTTAAATTTCTACAATTTGTTGAAATGTGTGTTTGTGTTTATGTATTATTTTTAGATCTATGAATTAAAAACTTCAAAATAATGAATGCAATGTTGTGTTTTCTATTGTGAAAGTAAAATATCAGGGATTACTAATGTGCATGCACACAATTTGTTAAGAATGTAATGATATATTCCAGGAATAATATGAATGTATATTTTAAAGTTTTTAAAGAATAGATAAAAGATTTATACATTTTTTATAAACTAAATTAGATACAACTAGACAAACTTCACTTGAGCTCTGAAATTCACAAATAATAAATAAACGAGAGCGACTTGATGTAGAATGAAGGAAATACAAGCAGCCGGTAACCCTTAATTCGAGCTCGACGTATCAGGCGTTGAAATATTAGCTAAAAGATACCTAATACTTTTCTTATTTGTAGTTTAGTCTAGAATTGTCCACAATTTCTATCCAATTAAGTCAGACTGTAAATTATTCTGCTTCTTCACGATGCATGTCGTGATATAGTTAACGACTTTGGGGTAACTATCAGTTAGGTGCATATTTCTGCCAAAATAATCAAAATTGTCCATTTCAACCATAACATAGTCGTTTCATAAACAACATTTTGTTATCGCACCACCACAGTATAAATCAGAAAAACATTTAATTTAACAGTCAATTTCTTTAGATATAGCAACTCATATCAACATGTGAGATGTGAGATACATCAACAATACATACCCCCTCGCCTCCATCTATCCACACTGAAGTGTCGAGCTTCTCATATATACCACTGGAAAATAGAAAAAAATATATGTTCGACGTAACTCTGTGTATAAAAGTAATAAATGTCACTAATCCTATGCCGAAGAGTATATATACTTTTTTTTTTACTTTAATTCCAATCCATCTAGCAGCGGAAATGAATCAATAACCGATAAATATCACAAATGAAAATCGAAAATAAACGAAGATATCAAATGACTAACTAATAGTTGAATTTGTTTTGAAAAGAACATTTAATTGTTTTTATATCTTCAGTAGGTAGTTTTTGACCATTTTGTACAGTGTTCCAGGGCAAATAGGTAATTTGAAATTTTTTACAGAAAAATGCGACGACAGGTAACATTAGCAGAGTTACGGAGGGCAGCACGGAAACCCTGGAGACAGCTGAAGACCAAATCAGACGATCTGCAAGTAGTTATCCTCGATTGACAGTGAACTTAAAAATTTTCGTCAACTGTATATTACTTCGCCAAGTGCTCATTGTGCCCCGCACAAATTTTAATCACCTCTAGCAATATTACGAAACATCTGACGGTGATGGGAGGACACTGTAAAATAAAACGCCATCATCACCGTATGTTTAACTGTTATATACAAATTATTTATTTATTGTATTGGTAATTTATGGTAATTTTTTGTTTAAATAAACAAAAAATGATGTTGAATCGTTTTATCACTTTCTTATCACTCTTGTGGTTCAAGAAGAAGAGTTGTTTAGCAAAATTAAAAGAATTAAGTGACTTAATTTGAACCCCGATGTGACGGAAGGGTTACGCACGCAGAAGGAGATCCTCGAAGTGATAGAGTTTGAATAAATCCTATTCATTAATGTTTTTTATAAGATATTTATTTTTAATGGCCAAACCTTTCGTTGCATCGGGACTTTACTGTATAGTAAAAAAATAAATTTTGTAAATCCAAATATTATGCGAATATTTAAAAAGTCAGGAATAAAAGAACTTTAAAAAACAAGAGTTTCGTTATTGATTAGCTTTTAAGTCTGTCTTATCACAAAAAAAAAATGCAAAAAGAAACCAATTTTTACTACGGGTGTTTAGTTTTTGATTTTTTGTTATTCTTTGTTAAATTACATACTACACCGTAATAAAATGTCGAATCAGTGTTTTCTAAACAAATTCGATTCCTGCAAATTTTATGTTATAAATTTTACCTACGGCTCGTGAAAATTAAAGTGGTTTTATTTAGCAATAGCAATAATAAAGCAAGGGGCATATAGTTTTTGAGGGGATGCTATCTAAAAATTTCGATGAAATTTGCAAAATGAAAAATTTAAACAGGTGGCCAACCCTGAGAAATGTTTTGCACATAGTGAATATCAATTATAATGATCTTCAAGGGACCGTTTGTTTACGTTGTTATAACCGATAGACGTAATGAGCAATTACAGTAATACGCCGAACTTACGCGATAAGTGGGACCGAGCGATAACCATGTAAGTCAAATTCGCGTAAGTCTGGGTACAATTTTCCATATACATACATACAAATTATATCCGTACGATATTTGTTGAGATAGAAGAACTGTTATCGGAATTACATACTGTAATAATAGTAAACTATCGCGGCAGGAGTGTGGCTTGAAATTTTCTGCCAATGACTCTACCCCGGGTGTCGAATGCGGTTAATTCCAAGAAAGTGACACGGGGGTATTCTTGGAATTCTATCTCCACAAATATTGTACGAACTATAAATGGAACCGAAAACCGAAAAAAAACAATAAACTTGAAAGAAAAATGTGTAATAAAATCTTAAATTAATACAAAAATAACACAAAATAATAATTTGCAGTTATACCTCAAATTTGCGCGAAACATATCAACACGTCGTAAACTGAACAAGTGTGGACGGGTGGGGAAGCGAGAGTAGCGCGTTGCTCAAACAAATGCCGAATCGACGAGATTTAAAAATCTCGTAACTCAGGATTCGCGTAAGATGTGGTAGCGTAAGTTGGGGTATTACTGTACATATTTTTTATTTTAAAATTTTATTGGAAAAATGAAAAAATCTTTAAGTACATATATTGCTTTGTGTTGAGAAGATCTCGGGCGCTTCATTTGCAGTGAATTGTTTTCCAGTACACTTTATTTTATTTCTATCCTTCCAAATTGTTGAAATCTTTTTTGTTTGAATTCTTTTGCTATGTTTGCATTAGTTTCTCCATTTTCTAGTCTTCATATTATGTGATTTTTCTTCTATATTAAACACTTTTCTTTTCAACATCATAACAGAAAGTGGTAATTAATACATATAATTTAACTGTATGCGTAGATACATCATAATTTTTCCCAAACGTACTAACTGGTATCAAAAGAGTGGATGCCGGTGGGGTGGGCGAAGAGCAGTGCATTGGTTTTAAGATTCTATGGTAACTGTATATAAAAACGTGTCACTAAATACAAGATGTTGTTGTAAACGGTGTTGTAGTAAATAATATTTTTAATATGGTAATTCTATAGGGTTTAATCGGAACTTCCAAATTCCGTCGTTATATCCAATATGTCGTACAAAGCAATGTTGTCATAACCCACTTTCACTGTAATGGCAAAAAAAAAATTTTATCAACTTTTTTTTTTAATTTTTAATAACTTTTCTTCGTATTGATTGATTTTCAGTTTTAATTAGATATTTATTAAAGTTCAATTTTTCAAACTTCATAATGCTGCAACTTTAAACAAGAACACACTTGTTTGTATCTGCCAGTTGACTATAAAAAATAATATTTTATGAATATACAGGGTGGGCCATTAGTGTGAGAAAGTAAAATAACTCCCTTGTTGCTCATAACACAGAAAAAAAGTTTATATAAAAGTTATACAGAATCAAGAAACCTGAGCTACAAAATTAATTTGAAACATACAGGGTGATGAGTAGCCAAAGATTACATTTTTTAAATGGAAGACCTTGTATATTTTTAAACATACAGATTTCCGAGACAATTCTATATATGGCAATATAAACAGTTTATCATTTTAGTGCGGGGTTGCCAAGTTATGTAAAAAATTCCTCGAATTTTGGAAGAAACATGATCTCGAAGAAGTTGTATTAATTTTCAGCTACTAACACTTGGAACAAAATAATTAGACAGAGTTATAAGCAAACGTTAGACAAAGGCTTCTATATTAGCTAATATCGATATCTTATACAGGGCATTTTTTATAATACGATCATTTTTAAAAAGTTTAAACTTGATTTTCTAAAATTTTTCCAATGGAACACCCTGTATTTTATTATTCTATTTTATTTACATATCAGTCCACTTCAACTTTTATTAAGCATGTTCTATATCTAAAATTGTTAATTTTTAAATGCTCTGTTTAAAATATCGACATCAGCTAATATAGGAGTCTTTGCCTAACATTTGTCTATAACTCTGTCAAATATTTTTGCTCCAAGTGCCAGTAGTAGAAGTTAATACAACTTCTTCGAGGTCATGTTTTTTCCAAAATTCGAAGAATTTTCTACATAACTTAGCAACCCCGCACTAAAATGATAAACTGTTTATATTGCCATAATATAGAATTTTCTCAGAAATCCATGTTTAAAAATATACAGGGCGTTCCATTTAAAAAATTTAATATTTGGCGTGTCCCTTTTTTACTCATCGCCCTGTGTGTTTCAAATTAATTTTGTCCTTTAGGTTTTTTGATTCTGTACAACTTTTATATAAACTTTTTTTCTGTATTAAGAAAACAAGGGAGTTACTTTACTTTCTCACACTAATGGCCCACCCTGTATTTGCAACCCTTTCCGAAATATCGGGTAGGCAACACCTCTTTTTAAATTTTTTATTTTGCAAATTTTGTGTGAAATTTTTTTGTTACAAAAGTTCTATATATGAGCTTAGAAATCCCCTCAACAATGTAGGTCCCAGGCCTTATGAAAAATATGACCACTTTAAGTTTTGTGAGCCATTTTAACTTTACACTTTGTCTTAGAGAATAAATTGCTAGATCTTAGAAAACGGTGTCTAGAAAATGGAGAGCAATCTCTCGGGTCTGCGGAATTATTAGTTCTTGAAGCTAATGTTGAATATTGATTTTTCGTAAAATTTTTTTGATTTATTATTTATTTGAATTTGTGAAAATTTTGGGAAAAGTTCGACTGATCTAATCAATTTAATAACAATAACTATTTTTGGGGCAGAGCACATCTTTGCAATCTTCGTCCCAATAATTTTATTAACAATTTTTATCGTAGATTTTAAAATTTTCAGACTACAAAAAAAAATACTTTTCTGACAGTTTAATAGTAAAATTTTTCTTGAAAACAACTAGTTAATTTATGATATAAATGAATAATTTTGCTGCATATACAAATGTATGTTATCCGGGTTTATTATTATGAATAAGAAATAGAATTCTTTGTTAAACACAGTTATCCCAGAAAACGGTTCATTATATCGAAAACAAGCAAGCAGTTTTTTAAACAAAAAGAAATTAGGGTGCTGAGCTCAGTGGTCCCCAAACTTTCTGAAGTTGCGATCCCTTACACCAGATATTTGCTTGTAGCTTCTATCACCATACTTCTAAATTTAAAGTTTAAATAAAACAAAGAAACTTTTAACTAAAATAGAACTGCACTAATTACATTGTGATAATTTGTGCATATAAACGAGTGTCATCTATTCAGTTTTTCAGCCATATATTTTTGTCTCGCTAATGTTAAAAAGCTTGTCGAAAACACAATCGTCTACGAATACAGGCACACGTATAGGTCTGTAACCATTCTAAAAAGTGTATGCTAGTAACCACCCTAATTTGACGGTCAGTTTAGAATTTCAATTTATGCAATATATTTTGTAAAATCTTTCGTGATTCCTTGTGACCTCTTCCGTGAAATAAAAAAATCTATGTTCAACCCTCAACTTCAAGAGTTAAAAATCGACAGGGTGAGCCTGATGAAAAATAATTTATATAAACTTGTGGCATCATTTTTGCATCTATCCAAATTTGAGAGATTGACCATCATTTTCTGGACACCCTGTATATCTTATTTAAGATTTTTCAATCGCAACTTGTCCAGCTGATCACCCCAGTTAACAGAGTTAACTAAAATTTCAAGAAACCTACAAAACAACTGTGACTTGCATCTTGAATTCTGGTGAGAAAATTTGCAACGATGCTGTATTATTGCAAGCTGCCTTGATTTAGCCGACTATCATTAAAATTAAATAATAATATAAATGTAACTTCAAATAGTCCCGAATTTCAAATATATATTTTTGTGTCTCATGGAACGTGGACATTAAGTGTTTTAATTTGCTAAACGTTACTTTTCTCTATTTCAGAGAACAAAAGCAGCTCATAAATTAAATTTGCTATAGTATTTTTTACTTGAAAAAAAACTTTTTTTCATTTCCTTATAATTTCACAATATTAAATAAAAATAATAATTATTAAATTCTACTTTCTGTTTCTTTTCTCTTCTGCACAAATGTAGATATGATTAAATCCAGGTAAGTTAAAAAAAAACTTAAAACTATTTTAATATGTAATAATTTGGCATTGCAAAAATTTTCTCAACTTTCATTTCATCATAACTCATAAGACAGACAAAAGAATGAATTTAAAAGTTGAACTTTAAATGCAATTTGACCTTTTTCAAAGTTCTAAAATTGACTATTGATTGCATAAATTTAAAGATGTTAATAAATGTACTACTTCTATATGTATTACATTGTTAATATTGGATTCTGTATATAAAACTACTATTTCCATAATTTTACATATAACTACTTAGTTGTATGTTTAATTTGAAAAAAAAATGTGATAAAGTTATTTCAGGTCTCATTACTTCTGTATATAGTGTTTATAAAGCATGCTTTTTTCTCCATATTGCTAGAAGGTGCAAAAATATATCTATATTGTACAATTGTCTGTTTACTGGCAATAAACTAACTGTTGAATTCAAACTGTTCACCTCAACAGTTAAATTCAACATTGTTGTAGATATCATTTACTTGTATTGTCTCTGCTGTCGTAGGGAGTATGAGAAGGCGTTATGAAGTGTAGAATAATTTACATTTTTTTCATAAATAAAAAATGAAGCACATAACACTCACAGTTGGTTTTATTTGAGGGGCGGATTGTACATTTCACCTATTACTTCAGGGGTATAATTACCTTACCTGTCCTCAAAGAACAGTGACTTGTACCACAGTTTATAAACTGAGACAAAGTACGACTTTTTGTTTCATAAGTCGTGACCCCAAATCACTATAGTGGTTTGAATATCTGGCTGTGACAGCATTTAAAAATTTTTTAGAAAAATGAAAAGTTTGGAGAGCTGGAAAATTAAAAGGGTGTTTTCAGTTTGGTTGCTAATTACTGAGCCTTTAGAAGCGCAAATGAAATTAGTCGTTTCATAGTTGAGCAAGTAAACTACCAAAACAAAAAAAATTGTTAAAATTAATTTTCAAGAAACATACTACATGGTAAAAATACAGGGCTGTAAAATCCACACGGTCCATCTGCCTTTACATGAGAGCGACAAAGTAAAGAAATCCATGCGATAGACAAGGATGGCTATAATGAAGACATTTCATAATCTGAATAGTCCGCCCGTTTCGGGTTAGAAGTGGGAGTGACTATTCAAATTATGAAACGTCTTCAATATAACCATCCTTGTCTATCGCACGAATTTCTATGATTTACTTTATCGCTCTCACGTAACGATGTACCATGGGGACTTTCCGAACCTGTATATGGTAATTTGTAAAATCCATATGGCAAGCAAAATATAGGACTTAATCTGAATTTTATAAGGTAATTTTATTTTTTAAAGAGGTTTTTAAATTGTCAGTCCCAACACTTTTTCTCAAAATATCAATATAATTATGAATTTAAAATCGAGAGCTCTGAGTCTCTCACGTCCTGTTTCATAAAAACAAATAAATCCGTTGCAAACTTACCTCAATAAAAATAATTTTCTGTTAAAACAATTAAATTAAATAAAGAAACAATTATTCGGTGTTGAAAAATAAAACATAAAATTCCATGTCTTTCTGAAAAAATATCTAATTTCAAAGAACAAATCATTTTATTTAACTTTTAGTGACAATAATAAAAATATACAAACCACCAAAATTAAAGAGACCACTTATTTGTAAAATATCTTTTTAGATTGTAATGAGATTTGTATCGTCAATACAAGTAGATACATATTTGGAAAAGCATATTTCAGAACATGAAGAACTATCGGACCGATTACATATTATCAAATCACCAAAACAAAATGAGTCCAGCAGAATATGTCCAGAAGTTTTTACATAATTTAAAGTTTGAGGAAACTTATAATTGGAAGAAAAATAATTCTCAACAGATGATTAATATGAAGAACTTTAAAAATAGCATAAATAAAAAAGATAAAAATATCTAATAAAAAAGAAATCCAAAATATCGGTGGTCAAGCGGTTCAAGTCGTCAGTACTTGAATCAATGAATGCCACCATCGCGGGTTCGATCCATGTAAGACCATAGATCACGTATATTCGTAGAGAGGAATTAGGCACCCTCTCTGTGGGTACGGTAGGATGGAAGAATGTTTTCTTGGGTCTATGCGAGAGATTGGTAATTAATGTTTTCCAGGCTTCCCTCATTCCTTCAGGGGCTCACCAACGTATCGTTTCTGGGCACACATTCAGCCTACTGAATAATATGCCGCCCTTCTTCCAAACAAGTCTCCGACTTCTGGGTTAATCCTTGCGATCAGAATAAGGCGAGATATTATTATTATTATTATTATTTAAGTACATGTTATAATTTGATACATGATTAAATTAAAATCAAAATTATAAATTACACGTCCTATATAATTAAAAAATATATATTTTAATGTATTTGTAATTGTTTTTAACCTCCCCTTTGGTAATTTTTAGTTTGGCAAAAAGGTAAATCCTCTTGTCACCTTATAATAAGCTGAAAAATCTATTTTAATTTCGTTTATCATACAAAAAAGAGAAATTTTCCCTATATTATATTTAAACAAAACATTTAAACGAATTTAAAAAAAATTATGTTTTATATGGATATATGTTTTTTATTCTGCCATTACTACATTATAGGGCCGGCTAATTTTTATTATGTTTATTTAGTTATTTATGTTAAAACTGATCAATTTTGTATCATATATTTATATAAAAACACGAGTATTAATTGTGGAGTCCTGAGGATATAATAAAAATAATGAAACAAAGACAAAAGATTTTTTTTTCGTGATTGAATAATGGTATCTGACTTGTAGCGAAAAATATTATTTCTCACTCAACGCTTTTATCTCTATTTCTATCTTTTTTGACCTTAGTTGTCATAATGTAATTTAAATCTCTTCACTCACTCATACTACATATACTACAACATATGACTCCACTCGCGAAAGAAGCCTAGTCTAATAAATTAATAGGATATATTCTGAGTGTGGCTGAATATAGCCTACAAAATATGCAATATTAAATGTCATTACTTGTCTACAGACACAAAGTATTTCTTTATACCTACCAGTCTGTATTTGATGATTCCGCTGACGAATAGTCTTGGTCGTTTGCTAGAAATTTCGGGGGTGTAATTCAATGCTGTATGGGACTGTAGCCTCCAGATTAGTTATTTCCCAGAATATCATTAGTTAAATCTATATATTCAATAAAATAATCACATCACTTTAATAAATAACAAAATGCCCTTTAATAAAAAAAATTTTAGTAGAATTAGAACCATATAGTTTAAATGATTATCTGTTAAAATAGTTTTTTAGGTATTCTTTAGTTTACAATACTGACAATATTTCATTTTAGGTGTAGATACAATGGTCGGTTACAGTGTAGCTGTACCTTCTTTGAAATAAATATTATTATTATTATTATTATTATTAATAAATGTATTAAAATATTTGTGAACTTAAACTTGTTGAAAATCGTGTCTTAGGAGACGTTTCTATGCGTAATTTTTAGTGAATTTATAGCAGTCTTTTGATGAGCGTTTTAGAAAATCTGAGCAAGTTAGAAACAATATCTGTCCACTGTACCAGTTATACAAGTTTTCTCGAGGGTATGACAGTTTACAAGCTGATAGTACATTCAGTATAAGGAAAAAGGGAATATTTTTACTTCTTATGTTTATCATTACATTTCCTAAATTTTACACGCCTGTTGAATATACAAAAAATTGCATATGGGACTACAAACATAATCACACCCCGCAGAATGCTTTTGTGAAACTATTAACACATGAATTAATCGTAACTGACAAAACAGGAAAGGTACATTGTGATGTTTAAATGGGTGCCCATGTTGAAGAGTTTCCTTCAAATTAACTTTAATTAAATTATTAATTTTTCGTCAAGGAGTATATTTTAAAATTTTCACACCCCCACAATTGTTTCACCCAATTTTTCTGGATTGGAATTTCTTTCACAATGAAAAGTTTTTGAAATTATTCTGTAAAAATCGAGATATTAAATAAAATAAGAGTAGAAATGTCTAGATGAAGTTAGCGAAGCAGAAATAAATTTTGGACAACTACCTAGTCATGCTTGTATTTAATTAAATACATTTTAATATAAGATTTACAGAAAATAAATAATACAAAATAAATGGAAAAATATCAAAGTATAAAAAATATAAAATTCATCTCAAAAGTCTATAAACTAGTTTCTATAAAAACTAACACGTGATTTGGACGGAAATCTTAGATCACAATTTAGTTTCGTGTCTAAAGGGCCTCCTCAGTTGCCTAACTATGGCGGGAGGAGGAGGATTACAGTCAGATTCATCGTCCGCGCTGTCCACGTCACCGTCACTACTGTTAGTTGAAGCGACAGCTTGAGTGGGCCTGCCAGCCCTCTGCCTCCTATAATATTTAAATTCTCTCGGGAGAGTATAGGAGCGAGGTAGTGAGACTTGGCTTTCGATATCGGACGATCCGTGTGGCACTGGAATTTCTACAGTTTCTGGTTCGAGAACTATACAATCACAATATAAATACCTTGGGGTTAGTAACAACTCTGGAGTACGACTCCTCGGAGCTCTAGGAGGAGGTCTTCTGTTTAAGTTGACTCCATAACTAGCTAAATTGTTTAAAGAGGCAAGACTTAGTAACTGAGGTTCCACGTGACGCTTGGCCCTGGGAATAGGCTGCCGGTCATCGAAATCCGCACTTTCCGGCCCTACGAGTTTCCCCTGCTTGATTTCTTCTTCGATTATTTTCAGTTCGGCCAACTGTTTCTGTTTCTTTTCTTGCAGTTTTTGATGAATGTTGACCCGTGACCCAACACTACTCCCTTCGTTTTCACTAGATGAAGGCAAAGGACGTCGCCAGAACGGCATGGCAACTGGCCCTAAACCAGGAGGTGGCACAAAACTGGTCGGCTTTTTCTTCTTTCTATACAGGGCTGCCGCAGAGGGGGTGCTGAATCGGCAGTTGAACACACCAGGCGGCGCGGCAGGCTTTTTCAATAAGCGTTTCACGTGGAAGAATTTATAGTACAAAAGCATAAATATTATGCCGGCAGAGAATAGCGTAACAGTTAAAATAGGAACTAACTCCCAGTGATTTGGTCTAACCGGCCACACAGCAGCAACCCATGCGCCTACTAAAAGACAGTTTTCTAGTAACATTACGATGTAAAATATTATCATAGTTCTTCCATGAGGTCTCTCTTGTAAATTAATATAGGCCAGTATGTATATCGCTGCAATTAAGGCACACACCCCCAATTTACTGCCTCTTTGCCCGTGGAAAGGACTTCGGGGGGAGAGCAGCCATAAAAACATACAGGTCCAGTGCAGTGCCAATACTAAAAACACCCACGAGTGGTAACTAGCCGCGTAAGCCGATAGAGCCAAAGCTCTGGCCGTCACCGTCCCAGCCCGCCACAACAACTGGGAGACAACTCCCAGCCAGGTTAAAACAAGTCTATCCACACTTTGTACATGTTTGCTAAACGAGGCTAGTGCCCAACACACCGAGAATAACGAAAGAGCTGCGGAAACGGTCACTAGATCGGAGGGAGGGCCCTGTGGCTTACCTAAAATAAAGAGAAAATAAGAACAATGCTATTGTTATTTTTATACAGAGTGTCCTAATTTATAGGTGTACAAATTATTACAGAAGTAACTAGAAAGTAAATAAAGGTCACATCTTTTTTATTAAACAGCCCTTAGAAATGCACATATTTGGAAGTTATAAATTCCCCAAAATTGCAAATCAAAGGCTGCTACGATTTTCTTAGATGTCGACTTCATTTTTTCATTTTTCATTTCAAAATTTCATATTCAAATTTAAAAATGTTGTAAGTTTCTGATGTTCAGGGTGTTTATAAACTTGAAGCAGATTAATAATAAGCATTTTCAATAATCAAAACCAAGCAAATAACTGTGGCCATATATGACATGTCATATGCTACATTGTTCCGTTTTTTGCAGCACACAAAAACTGCTAATTTAATTTGAAAAATGTCGTATTGTACAAATTATTAGTAAACAAATGTCTAAGGGCAGAAATTCAAACTTTATATCACTATAACCATGCTTTCAGAAAATGCATTCTAGGTTAATGTTGTACTAGATTATAATAAAAATTTTCTACAAATTTTATTCTTACATTTTACTTTCTACGTCAAAAACAACACAAAATATAGGGGTGACACTTATGGTACCCCCCACCTTGTACACCTATAAATTGGGACACTATGTAAATTATGTAATGAATAACTTATAAAATGGATTTTACCTGGTAACAGACTTAACTGAAGCAGCAGCATAGGTGCGGCTTGTAAAAAGCCATGTACTAATCGTAATATACACAGATCCCTAACTTCACGCTTAACACTAGATAACTGGACAGGTACAAGAAGACGTGCATAACGCCAGAGCACTCCAAGTTGGACGACATGAAGCCCCACCACAAGCACACGTTGCCATCCGTTTGGTTTCTTTTTTAAATACCAGTGAAGTGACAATATCTGAGATACCAAAGTCGTTATTACAATGGCACCCAAACACTGGACAAATAAAATTTTTGAGCCCCTTTCATAAAGGGCATACACTACTAGGATATCGAAGACCAGATCACAAAAGTAAGCTGCGAGGGAGACTACATTAAATAGTAAATCACATAATGGCAAGAATTCTGCCATTTCTTCAAGAGCATCATCTCATTCTAAAAAACAGGAAAAAATATTTAGGAAAACCAGGAAATAGAGAAAATTTTCATTTTACATACTTGCCCTCCAGTATTTATCTGGGCTATTGCCCGCATTCCTAACCTCCATTCATCTTTAAAACAACCGTTTACTCAGCATCATCCATTTAAAGTTTTCATATAAATAACTTTGCATGGTAATTAATGAAAATTGTTGCTGTGCCATGAAAGATAATGATTTTCTTTTAAAACTACCTTCAAATTAACTTTGTTGACAAAATATTTAAAAGAATTGTAATTCTGGCGCAAACAACTGTCAAACTGTGTATAAAGTACCACTTTAATTAAAGTACTTACGTACACAGAGGAGTAATGATTACTATTAAAACAATAAACCTCCTAAATGTAGATGTAATTTGAAAAATGTAGGTGCTAGTATTGTGTAACTGTAACAAATGTATCCACTAAATAACTATACAATTTGAGAGAAATTGCAATTTTACAGGAACAGATATTTTAGACACTTCCAAGTATTTATTTGTCAGGTTTGAATTCCTTCCTATTATGTCCTATTTGTTTTGTACATTATTTACCATTTATTCATCCTCTCTAATTTCGTTCATTGTCGTTGTTTCACATAATTTATATAATTGACCATGTAATTTTTATGTTTGCTTGAAATTTAAATCACAATATATTAGATATTTAAGACTTTCATAAGCATTATTACACTAATTATTTTAAGTATCTGCTGAACTTGGAGAATTTAAATAAAACCTGTTGTACAAATTTAAATGAAACATGGATATAAAGTCTCTCCTCAAACAGAGGCTACAAAAATTAAAAGGTAAGTAATCATTTCTACATGTTCTGAAGGGTGTTGTTCTAAATAGTAATTTACAGCTGCAGATTCAGAAAACATCTCGAAAAATGAGAAGATTGAAGAATCACACTTTCAACAGTACCTACAGGAATGGGGAGTAAAGACTGAACCAAGCCAGGGAGTCCCAAAATTTTTCAATAAAATACCAAAAGAAACTGAACAACCACTTCGTTCTAAGTTACGTGAAGAGAGTCGGTCAAACCTTTTGAAAAGAAGAAGTCAGCAGCTATTAGATAATAATGAACTGAAAGAACTTTGGGTGTTACTTGACCGGAATCAAAGTTTTCCAGATGAACAGCTAATCACTTATGCGGATTTCCAGAAAGTTGCTTTCCTAGCAGGATCAAAAATTAGACCATATTTCACTCCGATAGTTTTTGCTAGGCTTCAACAGGGCGACTCTCAGGGAAGAGTTTCTATTATGTCCCTCTTTAATTATGTGATGCGTAAAGTGTGGTTAGATCAGACTCGTATAGGTTTATCCTTATATGATGTCAGTGGACAGGGATATTTAACTGAAAGTGATTTAGAAAATTATATTACCGAGTTACTGCCAACTTTGCCTCAGTTGGAAGGTCTCGAAAAATCATTCCACAGCTTTTACGTCTGCACTGCTGTCAGAAAGTTCTTGTTTTTTCTCGATGTAGTGAGAGCAGGTCGGGTGAGGATCTTAGACGTTTTGGCTTGTTCTTTTTTAGACGATCTCTTGGAACTCAGGGATGAAGAATTAAGCAAGGAGCTGCAAGAACAAAATTGGTTTAGTGCTCCATCTGCTCTTCGAATCTACGGACATTACCTAAATCTTGATCGTGATCACAACGGAATGCTTAGCAAGGCTGAGCTAGCTGGGTATGGGACAGGAACTTTAACTAAACCATTTTTGGACAGGGTATTTCAGACCTGTTTGACGTATGGGGGTGAAATGGATTATAAAACTTACTTGGATTTAGTACTAGCTTTGGAAAACCGCAGTGAACCTCAAGCTCTGGCTTTCCTATTTAGAATATTGGATATAAAGAATTGCGGATACTTGGACGCTTTTACATTAAATTACTTCTTCAGGGCGATACAAGAACAGATGAAGGCGCATGGTGCAGAGCCTGTATCATTTCAAGATGTTAAAGATGAACTTTTTGATATGGTCAGGCCTAAGGATCCGGAGAAAATTACCTTAGCGGACTTATTAGCATGCGGACAAGGCGACACATTCATAAGCATTTTAATAGAGTTTCACGGTTTCTGGGCTTATGAAAATAGGGAGGCAGTGTCTTCGGAGCCATCTCAAGATTGATTTCCTTTCTCTTTAATGACACAAATTTATAGCTGCTACAATTTTTGTAATATGAAATTCATTGCCCCAGTTTTCTGATATGACTTTTCAGTATTAATTGAGATTAAAGTTTTAATTTGTAAATAGTCGTACATCTAATTCTCATAGGAATTTACTATATAATTGTAATCAATAAATTATAATTGAAGTAATATTTTAAATTAACACAAAAGCTCAATCCACAAAACTTATGATACCAGCTACATCAACTTTTTATAAAATACAACACCAGACAAAAAAAAGTAGATAAAATACGCGCAGAATATTATACTGCGCGTGTAGTTGATTTAGCTAGGCCAGCACGCTATTGGTCAAAATTTGCGTGACGTCATCAGTTCAACCAATAGCGTTTGATACTCCTAATTCAGACTCAAAAATTATTTAAAGCGCGTGTACCATAAACACATACTAATAGTTTTTCTTATTCAAAATTATACCCACCTTTTACAATACATTGCAATTTTTATGTTAATTTTTTGGTAGTTACAAACATCTATAAAAAAAGCAGGTATGTGATATGTAGGCATGTATGAAGCATGTTGCAAGCTAAGAAGGAAAAGGTAAACAAAATTTTTAAGCTACCATATATTGGAGAAGTATACCTACATCACATACTTTTTTTCTTGGAAAACGTTCACTTGAAATGAGAGGTGTAGGTAATTTGTCAAAATATTTATTATTAGACATGAGACCATAAAAGCATCTTGGCTAGGTACCTATATATACTACGCCATATATTAAAAAATTGAAACAAAAAGCGTATACTAAATTAATTACGTCAGAACTCACTCTATATTTATTATATTAAAAGCGCATACTTGTTTCTGTTGTCAGGTGAATCCTGGCGAGAAAATTCAGTGGCGCACCTCACAAAATGTTTCAAAAACAATTTTTATTTCTGTTGAGAGATATAGTTCATCTTTTGTATACTTAGAAAGTATGTCTATTGTTACACATTCATAGACTGAATGTTACAAAATTTAACAATTCAATTTGTTAAGTTTTACGACATTCAGTCTGCTATTTTGTTGTTACTAAAATGATTTTGAACAAAATTACAATTATAATAACTTTACCAAAGAAACAGATAGCAATATTAAAAAAAAAGTTTCTAGTAATTCCATAATCAAGTTTGCAGCAAAGTGTATGAAGTAAGTATATTATTATGAACATTGCTAAGATAGATTTTAGTAAAGAAAAGTTATAGCAAGATTCTTCATTTACAAGTTTACAACAAACTTACCAATACCAACCCACTAAACACGAAACGTAAATGAAACGTTGCAAATGAGATGTTTTACTAAAAAATTGAAACATTAACTAGAAACGTTTCTGTTTCATTACAGAAATGTAGCACTTGAAAACTTATTTAGTGAAACATAGCTGAAACGTTACAATTGAAGAGAGTTTGAAACATTACTCGAAACATTACCTTTCGATCTCGGAAACATAACAGACGAACAACCCTTTGCTATTTTTGCTTATCTTATGGAACAATCGGCATTAGTTAAATTTTGCTCTCAATCCCCAATCCTTCTCAAGCGTTAGTTCATTTGCCTTTGTTATATACACATAATTAGAAAAAAATGTGGTAGCATATTTATAACACAAGTCTAGAAAAAATGTAATGTTTGTGACTTGCGTAGACTGCGCGTAACAGCCCAAGTTTATTTGTTTCCCGTGTGTCGTTTCAATTCGTATTATGTTAGGTTAGGTTTGCGGTTTGTCAGTTTGCTTGGTTTCGTTGTTATTCATCTTTACTTTGACGCTATTTTATGTGATAATTTGTAGTGTGTGCAGTTGTGGTTATTGTAAGGTGCATATAAAATAATGAATATTGATGCAAAATGTTTAAAACGATATGTGTGAAGAGATTTCCAATTTTGCGTCACATCTACCTAAATATAGTTATACCCACTACCTATTACAGACAAAGACAAGGACAAGGGACAAGAACTAAGAAAATGGAACAACAACTATACGTTTCGATATAATTTGAAGAGCAACTACTTAGTCAGTGAGAACTATTTGAAATATGGATGAATCAAGTGAAATAGACGTCATTTATTTTATATTTTGTACAAATGTTTATATTTGTTTATGTGTATAGGCATGCTTAAACAAAAGAGTTTAGGTATACCTACAGATATTTACTTTGTCAAGATCAGGCCCGGATCCAGAGGGGGTGGCGATGTGGCGATCGCCACCCCCAAAGCACAACATTTTTTAAAGACCTTCAATTTCTCCAAACGACAACAGGCAGTTAGTCGATATTAATGCAAGTCCCCCTTCCTAACCTACACCTTACGTCATCAAAAAAATAACAACAACAACAACAATAATAAAAATAATAATAATAATGATAAAGAAGTGCTTTGCGCCACCCCCAAAACCAGTCTCTGGATCCGGGCCTGGTCAAGATATCATTTTGTATCCTTATTTCTGCTGTATAATTTATTATTATTAAAAGGATATATGTAATATTGACCATGCGTAGAAGAAATTATAACTATATTATTTTTCAGTAATGTTATTTGTTTTTCATGTACCTACCATTTCAACATTCATAATCATAACTAACTTTTTCTAATTATCAGTTCGTCATTGTTACCATATTCATGATGGTCTCAACATTAGAAAATTTCCATTTCAGAAGCGTATTTGAACAATATAAAATGTGTAGTTTTTTTTAATGCTTCTGATATTGTTTTGAAATATCACAAAGGAGTATTAGAGATATTTAAAAAAACACTCACACTATTTATACTATTTCAAAAACGCTTTTGAAATGAAAATGATCTAAAGTTGAGAGCATTATGAGAACAATATGGTAATCAAATTATTATGTTACTCAAACATTTCTGAAAATATACTGAAACGTAAAACAAAAATATCGAGGGCATAAATGGAACATAAAAAGAATGTTACTGAAACCAATTTTTTGAAACGTTTCATTGGAAACGTATTTTGGGGAGGACATCTTGGGCTTCTAGAACGTTACCAGAACGTTGCATGGGTTTTTTTTCTGAAACATGTCAGAAACTGAAAAATGTTTAGTGGGAATTATTAATTTTTCCTTGCTAAATTGTCGGGTGGTCATTATAACTTTGTTGCAAATTTTTTGCAAACCCGCCCTAAACTTTACAGTTTTATTTTGAAAACTGTTGGCAGTTTTACATCAACTTTTATTTTGCTTTGTGGGGGTCTCTGTTGTCAGTTAGAGACAGCTATGTGTTCTGACGCATTCTGACGATAACAACGGTAATGGAAAACTCAAATTCATTTTTCTATGGAATTATAAATATATTTTAGCGACATCCATATTTTTTATACTTAATAACAAATAATTGAAAATATTGAATTTACGCAATGGCGTAACATTTTCCCGTCTCATAAAAGAGAATGAAATTTGAGCGTCACCGGCTTTTTTGTACCTATTTAAATTGTAACTAATAAAAGCAGTATTCACCACGTCAAATTAGAAAAAAATGGCTTAAATAGTAGAATGGATGCTAAAAACAAAATCCAAATCAAAAACTCCAAAATTCGTAACCTTATAAATCTAGAAAGGTACTGTCACTGGTCTGAAGTTGACTTTCACAGCATGAGCGGCGCCTTGCCTAGCCTTGCGACTGGCCCCGACCTTCGCAATATCATCGTAAGAATTCGAAATATGCCTCTCTGGGACGCCTACCGAGTAACGGTCTTGCATAGCAGGATATCGGCAGGATTCTTGCTGCAGGATATTTTTACCTAAGTATTTTTTGTTGATCTGTTGTACTACTCGCAATGTTGAGAACTCGTTATACGTTAAAAAATATATACAGGCAAGTAGCTAAATGAGGCCGCAGCACTGCAAGGAATTGTATTAATTTCGAAAAAACGGTACGCTCCATATGCTTTACGCTAAAATATGATTACAAATTTTTTAAATGAACTTTATGTGAACTAAATCCATTTTTAATTCGTTGCTTTATGAATTTTGGTATAAAAATTTTATTTATACATAGCATGTTCCGAAAAAAGGTGCAATAACCTAAGGTACTGTAGAACCTCAAGAACGATTTTTTCCTATGGGCCTATTGCAACCATTTATTTTTAAAACAAATAAGTGTCTAAAATAATATTTTTTAAATAAATTTCGGTTATACCTACCTCTTACCAAATGCAATGAATTGAATTGAAATTTCGTACATGTAAGATTTTGAGGATGCTGATTAGGGCCGGCTTAAGAGGGGGGCTACGGGAGCTGTAGCCCCGGACCTCACGAGATCGGGAGGCCTCGGCAAGATTTGGCAAAATGAATTTTAGCTTTTTTAGAATCAAACTAAAACGTGTTTAGATTTTTTTAGAAAGAGGGCCTGCGTAGGGCTTGTAGCCCCGGGAAATTACGTATTTTTCCCCATTTTTTACTGCCCATGAAAACCTAGAAGAACTATCGGAAAATTAGTTACTTTGTGTAGTAAAAAAAAATAAATTACCTAAAAAAAATTAAAATATAGTACGTTTATAAGAATTTTACTTCTTAAAACGACCTGAAGACTGCACTTCCATAATTTAGATTATTTTGGAATCATCCTGTGTATGGAAACTGCTTGATTATTTCACAGTTAAGAGCATTTTTCTAAAAAAAAAAAAAATTTCCGCAAAAAACTGAAAAGTTGTATTTTAAAATTTTGCAAGAAAAAATCGTGACTCTAGCGACCTCTTCAAAATAATCGAAAACTAACAATAGTGACACATATGGTTTCCTCAAAAATGTATATTAAACAATGCAATATATTATTTTTAAAAAAAGATAACTCAATTTTTTTAAAATTATTTTTGACGCCCTGTATCTCAAAAACAAACGACAATTTTCTACAGAAAAAATCGTCTTATTTTTTTTATGTTTTATCAGCCCTTGAATATATGGCATATAGTTTTTCAAAATACCGACATTGGTTATGCAGGGTATCCCGTTCATGTTTCAAAAAAACTTGTGTGCAAGTTCCTCATGGAAAAATAATAGTGGTAGTACATGTAAAGTTTTTTTCTTAGACGCCCTGTTTTCGAGATACAGTGTGTTGAAGTTGTTACTTGCCAAATGGTTTTCCTTAATTATCTTTAATTCGACTAAAGATAAA